CCACCAAGAGCCCCAAGTCACGATTCAGGCACTTCAATAGCTGCTTTCCAAGCACTCCTATTCAAACATAAATCTCTAGGTATATCCCAATCTTTTAAATATCTTTTTATTGTCTCCATGTCAATTTCGGTCTTCCTCTACCTTTCCTCATAGTATTAGCTTGGCTTAGGACTCCACAATGCACTGGTGCCTCTGGAGATCTCCTTGACATGGCCAAACCACCTCAACCGATGTTGGATAAGCTTTTCTTCAATTGGTGCTATCCCTAGACGATTACGTATATCATCGTTCCGAACTTGGCCCATTCTTGTGTGACCATAAATCCATCGCAACATACGTATTTCTGCAACACTCAGTTGTTGAACATGTCGAATCTTTGTAGGCCAACATTCTACTCCATACAACATAGCCGGTCTAATCGCCGTTCAATAAAACTTGCCTTTTAGCTTTTGTGGTACCCTCTTGTCACAGAGAATGACAGAAGCTTGTCGCCACTTGATCCACCCTACTTTGATTCTATGGCTAACGTCCGCATCAATGTCTCTATCCCTCTGTAGCATCGATCCCAGATACCAAAAGGTATCCTTCTTAGCCACTACTTGATCTTCCAAACTCACATCTCCCTCCTCCTGTGCAGCTCCGCCAAAGTTGCATCTCATGTATTCGGTTTTAGTTCTGCTCAATCTAAAACATTTAGACTTAAGGGTCTACCGCCATAACTCTAGTTTCCTATTTACTCCCACTTGGCTTTCGTCCACTAACTCTACATTATCAGCGAACAACATACACCAAGGGATATCCCCTTGTATGTTCCTGATAACCTCATCCATTACCAAGGCAAAGAGATACGGGTTTTAGGCTGACTCTTGATAAAGTCCAATTTTAATCGGGAAGTAATCTGTGTTACCATCGTTTGTTCGAACACTAGTCACAACATTGTTGTACATGTCCTTGATGAGGGTCACGTGCTTTGATGGGACTTTATGTTTGTCCAAAGACCACCACATAACATTTCTTGGTATCTTGTCATAAGCCTTCTCCAAGTCAATGAAAACTATGTGGATGTCCTTCTTGTACTCTCTAAACCGCTCCATCACTTATCTTATTAAGAAGATTGCTTCTGTGGTTGACCTTTCGGGCATGAAACCAAATTGGTTTGTTAATATCTACGTCGTTCCTCGCAGGCGCTGCTCGATAACTCTCCCATAACTTCATAGTGTGGCTCATCAACTTAATTTTTCGATAATTAGTACAACTTTGGATATCTCCCTTGTATTCTTGTAGATTGATACCAATACGCTTCGTCTCCACTCCTCAGGTATCTTGCTCGATTGAAAGATATTGTTGAACTCTTAGTTAGCCATACTATAGCTATATCCCCGAGACATCTCCACACTTTGATTAGGATACCATCAGGGTCCATTGCTTTGTCCCCTTTCATCCTTTTCAAGGCTTCTCTGACTTCTGATTCTTGAATCCACCGTACAAAGTTTCTGTTAGTGTCATCAAACGAGTCGTCCAGCTGAACGGTGGTGTTCTCGTTCTTACCATTGAACAATTTATCAAAATACTCTTGCCATCTATGTCTGATCTCATCCTCCTTCACCAAGAACTGCTCTCTCTCATCCTTTAAGCACTTGACTTAGTTGAAGTCCCTTGTCTTCCTATCGCGAGCCTTAGCCATCCCTTCCTCTCATCCTTTATGTACTTGACTTGGTTGAAGTCCCTTGTCTTCCTATCGCGAGCCCTAGCCATCCTATAAATGTTCTTCTCTCCTTTCTTCGGACTCAAACGTTGGTAAAGATTCTCATAGGCCCCCTTTGCCTCACTCACCGCTCGTTTTACAGTCTTCTTTGCCACCTTCTACTTCTCTATGTTGTCTGCACACCTGTCATAATACAAGCGCTTATAACACTCCTTTTCCTTAATAGCCTTTTGCGCCAAAGGGCCTCTAGTCCAACTGGTTAGAGCGTCCCGGCGGCACTCCTCAGGTCCTGAGTTCGACTCCTCGTGGGAGCTAATTTTAGGCTAGGGTTAAAAAAATCCCCTCGTCTGTCCCACGCCAAAGCATAGGTCTATGGACCGGCCCGTTCTCACAGGGCGACGGTGCCGCTGTGTAAGGGTGGGGCAGGGGTTCGGGGGTTTTCTGGGCCTACGTGAGAAGGTCTTCTTTTTAATGCAATGCCTGAGGGTGGTCATACCCTCGCAGGTCCAGTTTTTTTTTCTTAATAGCCTTTTGCACATCTTCATTCCACTACCAAATGCCTTTCGAGTCGCATCCGCTTCCTTTGGTCACTCCGAGCACCTCTTAAGCAACCTTCCGAACGCATGTTGCCATCTTCTCCCACATGTTGTTTGCATCGTCTTCATCCTTCCAAGGGCCCTCTTCAATGACCTTTTCCTTAAAGACTTTTGATGCCTCCCCTTCTAATTTCCACCACTTCGTTCTAGCAACCCTAGCTTGTTTGTTCCCACGAGCTTGCATCAGAAAGCGGAAGTCAGCCACCACCAGCTTGTGTTGAGCGACCACATATTTTTCAGGTATCACCTTACAGTCCACGCATGTTCGTTTATCCCTCCTTATAAGGACAAAGTCGATTTGGCTAGAGTACTGGCTGCTACTAAAGATCACTAAATGGGATTGTCTTTTACGAAAGAAAGTGTTAGCTATCATCAGATCAAAAGTTATGGCGGAGTCTAAGACTTCCTCTCCCTCCTGGTTCCTACTACCATATCCGAAACCCCCGTGAACCGCCTCGAAACCTGCACTTGATGTACCTACATGGCCATTAAGATCACCTCCTATAAAGAGCTTCTCGCTACTAGGGACAGCTCTAACCAAGCGATTTAAGTCTTCCCAGAAAAGCCGCTTAACACTCTCATCATGGCCTACTTGGGGGGCATACGCACTAATTACGTTTAAGACCATATCACTAATGACAAGTTTAACTAAGATGATCCTACCCCCTTGCCTTCTCACCTCCACCACACCATCCTTGAGGCTCTTATCAATCAAAACTTCTACTCCATTTTTATTTGAAGTTGTCCCTGTGTACCAAAGCTTGAAGCCGATATTGTCCACCTCCTTCGCCTTTTGCCCCTTCCATTTAGTCTCCTAATTTACTTTCTATTTCTTCAGGGGGAAGGAACTCCAAATTTACTTTCTATTTCTATTTTATCCTTCTATTTCCTTCAGGGGGAAGGAAGACGTAGAGGTGCCGCCGCCGTTCCTGGGCTCGCGCCTTTCTTATGGGCCGCAGCTGGCTCATTGGCTGCGGGTTGGGGACGTCTTATCGGACGTGTTACACATTGATGAATATGTACAGGGAAGGACGACCAATATTTGTTTCAATCCTGACCCAAGTGGTGGTTGTGGCTCTCTGGATGAAAGCGGTGCCTCACTCAGGGGGATTGCAAGTCCTGACCCAGGCCACAAGACAGTGCCCACCGTTTGCCTTTTTCCTTCTTCTCGACAAGAATCTTCTCCGAATTTTGTCAATTTCTTTGATCGCCCATGGGGGAAGATCCACTGCCATAGCTAGATAAACCAGCATAGAGGTGATAAAAAAACTGAACCAGAATTCTTCTCCCATCCTGGGTCAGTAAATCAGCTTTGCCATCCTGGAAGACAGTCTGCAATCTGGTCAACAGTAGGCTAAAATTTGTCTTAGCAAGTTTTTTCAAAGACAAAGGAAGGCCAAGATATTTGCTCGGGAGATCAAACAGCTCATAGGGAAGGTGCTCCTGAACAGTGGTGATATCTGATTCTGTGCACTGGATGGGGATACACATTACTCTTCTGCATATTTGTCTTCAAACCTGAGGCCTCACCAAAAAGCTGCAGCAGGTCAAGAGTTATAGTCATATACAAGGCAGAAGGCCATAGGAAGGTAACCATGTTGTCAGCATACAATGAAATACGGTGTTGCAGAGCCCTCGAAGAGAGGGGCTACAAGACATCATCATCCGCCGCCCTAGATATCACTGTGGCTTAGAAATCCATAACAAGGATGATGAGCATTGGGGAGAGGGGATCCCTCTGGCGAATTCCTCCCTTGATGGTGGATGAAAACCCTGGGAACACCATTTAAGAGCACCTGGTTGAAGAAGTAGCTAGCAACCCGCTAAGGATACCACACCAGATTGAACCAAAAACCCAGCTACTTTAAAACCATCTCATGGAGCCAACCAGCCAAATGATCAGCAAGAATCTTGGTGATAACTTTAGCGAAATTATGCACAAGACCGATGGGTCAAAAATCCTTGATATGTAGGGCCTCTTCTTTTTTGAGAAGAAGAATGATATAGACAGAATTGAGCAGCCCCATATTACCATGGTTTCTACTGCATACCGCAAAGATAGCAGCCATAACATTCTCTTTTATGATCGGCCAGCAGGATTTGTAGAGCCTACCAATAAACCAGTCAGGACCCGGAGCTTTGTCTGATGGCAGCTCGCAAATCGTTCTCCACATTTCCTCCTCAGTGAAGGGCATAAAGAGCGCAACGAGGCCATGAGAACTAAGCATTAACTCATCCAAATTAATTTTATGCTCCCTGTCCAAGCACGTCCCAAGGATATTACTGTAAAAATTATAAACAGCATCATCCTTTTTTATTCTCTATCTCTCTTCAAATCTGTATTCTTTCCTATCGATATCTCTACTGAATTCATATTTGTATGCTACCAGCCATATTTCTTCCATGTTTGCTGGGCACCCTGCTTCCTCACCTGTTGTGTAAATCCATCCAGCACCTGTTTCTTCTGAAGCCATGCCATGTGATAAGTTTCTGGTATACAAGTAGACAACTTTGAATAAAAACATCCTTTTCCATGGTAAAGTAACAGACCATGCAACTTAAGGAGCGCCATCAGGACAACTTAACACAGTGCCACTATACTCATCCTCTGGAAATTCTCCTTTTGTTGAGGGAAAGTTTTGTGGGATTTCATCACAAGAGTGGAAATTCTATTGTTGATCTTGTTGGCAACAGAAGCCATGGTGAGACTCTGATACCAAATTGCTGTGTGCCTTTCTGAGCTACTGGGGTTAGCTACCTTCAGTGCAAGACCTATAAAAGTATTAAATGCCTTGAGAATACATGGCTCTGCAACAAGTAGTATGGAGCAGAGCAAGAGGGGAGAAATAACACAGCTGCTGGCACTGGTAGAAATGGGGCTCGTGGCAGAGAAGAATGTGAATTTGGCATGGGCAAAAGCAGAGAGACACAAAGGATTGTAGGGAGATGGCATTGCGTGCTTAATTTCTGAGATGACATGCTAACTTCTTATGTAGAATCAGCCCTAACGTTCGAATCTACAGAAACCAACTACCAAAGATATTAAGACCCTGAATCTAAAAAGTCTCAAACTCTTAAGTTAACTTCCTATCAAACTACCAGATTAAACTTAAGCTATCTTATCTTGTGCTGCTGTTCTTCCCACAATGTGCTACTGCCAGAGCTGGGCTACCTATTCCTGGTTCATATATAGTTAGTCCCATTCCATTACTATGAAACTTGTTATGTTGTCATAGCATAAATTGCTAGCATATATATAGTTTCGTCAGCTATGACACTCAGAGGAGTACCTGAAATGGGTTATGGTTCTCACTGTCTTAGCTGTTGCAGAAACATTTTGGCAATTTTTTGGGCTCTCCCAGTATTTTGTAATAGTTAATTATGGCATAGAATAGTGCACCCGTGTAGATTTTAATATAATCTGGCATATTCATCTCTGCAGGCTTATTTTTCAATACCTTTTCTGTCCTAACATATCGTTTACTCTTGCCAGAGATGATATTATCTTCAAAGATCCTCTCAATAGTTTCACAGGCATCAGTAATTACAAAAGAATATTTTGGGCACTGCGGATTACTGGCCAAATTTTTTTCAAGGCGGCATGGATTGACATTGTCAGCATATGGCAGCCTGTAGAGAATGTAATTATGGTTCGATGGATTGTCAATGGCATCCCTAGAGTTCCGTGGGAGGGCAATGGTCGCTTTGATGGCACCTCAGAGTATAAGTTGGATAAAAATGGAAAGATCTATGAACATAAGGTGGACAATATTGCCAGGAATTCACCAACAAAGTTCAAGGTATTGCCGGTCGTAGAGCTTATCAGATCAATTGGATGCCCATCCACCCCGAAACCAACATATTTTGAGGCATCATGTCTATCTCTGATTCGCTGGCTTCATTTTGGTTGAGTTTGACTTGGATGAGGACGTACCCAATGTCCCAATTTGCCAGGAATGCACTATACCTACTTACCAATGAGTAGTACTTAATTGTAGCAGCCGTGTGTGTACAGCTATAATCCATGATTTAGATAAAATAGCTATAGATGTCCATCATGGCCGAGCCGTGCAAGCTGTTCTTGTCAGGTGCTGCAATTGAAAGATGTCTGGGAAACTTGTGCATCCTCATGTACTGTAGTGATGTATTTCTATTTTGAGTTGCGCGAGGTTTTGCTTTTGGAGCAGAAGTTTTGCCACATGAAAAGGTGCATTCGTTGTACGAGTGCAGTGCAGAAAACACAGATTCCCTGTTTATGTGAAATTCTCTTGAGATCTGAGTTTAGTTACATCTCATTGTATTACGTTCCTGTTGCTTTAATCTGTGAAGATCATTCGAGCTATGACAAAATATTGTTTGGTAAAGCTAGTTTCCTTTGTCAGCTATCAACACTGCTTCTCTTTTCTTTTTCTCAGGTATTTGTGTATGTCTTTATGATTCTATCTACCAATCTACTCCCTCCGTCCTGAATATAGAGTATTCAAATATTTATTATACTCAAATATGAGAAATTCTTAGGGACAAAATAGGTTTGCATTAAATAGTTGCATAATTTTGGTAGGCATTATATTGTTACTTGCTATTTATCAATCAATCACCATTAATCATATGGATCATAGCATCAGATTAGAAAATAAAGTGAGGGCACATGTATCTTTTGTGTACTTTCTTAATCTGTCATGAAATATCTAGAATACAATATTACAGGACTATTTGCTAGTATATATGTATAGCTATATCTATTGTGTTGAGTTGAACACTTGGAATGGTTACATGTGTCATTGTTTCAGATTTTATTTACCATTCCTGTCCGTTATCGTGTATTCGACTACATTGTATCGTTCCTGATATCCCGGATTTCTTGTTTCTTTTTACCTGACCGACATTCCTGATTCCGTTTCGGTTTCCATGTAAAATGAAATTAAAAACAGTTAGAGAGTTTTCCATCCATTCCGGACAGTTTCCACCCCTAATTAACCACCATGGATACCATCAAAGTTAGCTCGTGGAGTAACCGATAACTGGGTACAAATACTCCTATGACCATTGTATTTCTTAGCATTACATATTTTTTTAAGGAAATAAAGGAATCTTTGTTTCACCGAAACAACATCCTGGCCTGCACAACGTACAATTGTGTTTCTGGAGAATAGACTGCATGTATTGTCCTGTTTCGAGTTAAGGCTTAGTCGCCATGGCCATGTCATTTGCCTGCTCGATATCACTGAGTATTTTTGTAGGTTCCTTGCATCTGCTGTAAATGCAGTACACAGCCAGCTGAAGAATGCCAGTGAAACATCCGGCAGCATTTGGCGTCTTCATCAGAACAAAACGAGTTGGTTAGTAACTATATTTGGTGGTGATAACCATGGTGCCCGACAAAGGCACAAGAATTTCATGACAACAATGTATTCAAACAAGTCTATTTTTGGCCCTCGAGTCCAAATTCAGTATTGCCTATCAAATTCTAAAATCAGATATCTTTGACGTCGAAGTATCAAAACCAGAAATCTTGAAATAAAGCTGGTTTAAAAGATGGTTTAATTTTGTGTGTGTTACAAAATTACAAAAATGTGATTAAACCTCTACAAATCTACAACTAATAAATTGTAAAAAAAAATGACACCAATATCAAAATTTCCCTAAAAATATAATCTATCTAGTGTTCTGTTTAGAACTATTCATTCTAAAAAATATTGATCGCTTGGCTAGGCAATAGATTTCCAAAAAGGAAAGGGCTTAAGCATGTAATCATGTAATCAACATAAAGTAAAGCACAAAACAATAATTTAAATAAATAACAGTTGCAGTTACAAGCAATAAAACTCTACCAATTGCCCAATTAACTCTAAATAAAGTACCAATAGATTTAGAAAAAAATGGTACCAGTTTTATAATTTTTTATTTACAAATACTTAGTTATGAATTCTTTGGAAATTTAAACATATTTTAAAAAGTTGAGGGCCAAAGATATATGGTTTTATATTTTGATGGCCAAAGATACTCAGTTTTTAGCGTGCTGTATTGACTATATGTGTGGGCACTACCAGATACAGGGGCACTCGGCAAAGCCCCAAAAACACTCGTCAAAAGCGTTTGCCGAGTGTTATACTCGGCAAACGACACTCGGCAAAGGTTTTGACGGCAAAGAGCTGTTTGCCGAGTGTCAATCGTTGGGCACTCGGCAAAGACTATGCTGAGTCCCAAAAAACACTCGGCAAACATTTTTTGGGGAAAAAAAAACAAGTCGCCGGCGGCACCACCACGCTGCCGCCACCACCACCACCACCACCATAGTCGCCGGACACCACCACCACCACCACCAAAGTCGCCGCCACCACGACCACGCCCCACCGCCGCCACCACCACAGCCGTCGGCCACCACCACCACCACCACGCCACCCCCACCACGCCCCGCCGCCGGCCACCACCACGCCGCCCGCCGCCAGATCCGGCCGCCACCGGCCGGATCCGAGAGAGGGAGCACCGGATCCGACCGGGAGAAGAAGAAGGGGAGGGGAGGGCCCGCCGCCAGATTCGGCCGCCACCGGCCGGATTCGGGAGAGGGAGGGCGGATCCCGCCGGGTGAAGAAGAAGGAGAGGAGGGCTCCCGTGGGGAAGAAGAAGGGGAGGAGGGCGCCCGCCGGGAAGAAGAAGGGGATGGGAGGGTGCCCGCCAGGAAGAAGAAGGGGAGGAGAGGGCGGGCAAGTCTTGATCACTACGGAGGGATGCCGAGCACGCCAGGAGTGGTGCCGGGAGGTTCTGTAGTGGTGGCGACCACTCTAGGACGGGTGCCGAGCACTCCCGTGGCGGAGCCAAGACATCTTACAGTGGTGTCGACCACTCCAAGACTGAGGCAGGGCACTCCTACAGTGTGGCCGAACACTACAAGAGTTATGACGAGAAGTCCAGAAGTAGTGCCGAGCACTGCAACCAGGGTGCCGAGCACTCCAGGAGCTGTGCTGAGCACTCTGACGGAACAGGGAACTCCATCAACGCTGATCGAGTTCACCTCACCTCCAAGTGACATCACTGAGTTCGTGGATGCCTTCCACGAAGGTGAGGAGGTGCAGTTCTGTAGGCTGGACAACATCATCGGCGGCACAGGACCCTCAGGACTGGCTGGTCAACTGCTCAATGATGTAGAGCTGCTACTTGTCAGTGTAGAGGAACCACCCACGTTCGTGCTAGCCGAGCAGGACAGAAATTGGTGATAGGCGATGCTGGAGGAGATGAAGGCGATCGAGGAAAACGAGACATGGCAGCTCGTCGATCCACCTCCAGGATATCGTTCGATCAGCCTGAAGTGGGTGTACAAAGTCAAGCGGGATGAGCTCGGCGCCATTGTCAAGCACAAGGGCGCCTCATCGCCTGAGGCTTTGTTCAGCGTGAGGGGATCGACTTCGAGGAGGTCTTTGCGCCAGTAGCGCGCATGGAGTCGGTCCATTTGCTACTTACTTTGGCGGCAGCAAAGGACTAACGCGTCCATCACTTGGACGTTAAATCGGCCTTCCTCAATGGTGAACTGGTGGAGATGGTCTTCGTCAGGCAACCTCTAGGTTTCACCATCAAGGGAGAAGAGGACAGGGTGCTCTGACTGCGCAAGGCGCTCTACGGGCTGCGGCAGGCCCCCCAAGCATGGAACGCCAAGCTTGACACCATGCTGGGCGAGCTTGGGTTTCAAAGGTGCACAACCGAGCACGCGCTCTACACATGGCGATGGGGGAAGGAGCAGCTCGTCGTTGGCATGTATGTGGATGACTTAATCGTCACCGGCGCGCACACGGAGGATATCAACAACTTTAAGTGCGAGATGGCAGCTCGTTTTTGAATGAGCGATCTCGGTGCACTCTCCTACTACCTCGGCATCGAGGTGAGACAGGGGAAGGAGGAACTCACGCTCAGTCAGAGTGCATATGCCTCCAAGCTATTGGAGAGGAGTGGCATGGCTGAGTGCAAGCCATGCATGACTCCGATGGAGGAGCGGCTGAAGTTGATGAAGGCCAGCACCGCGGCGAAGGTGGATGTGACACTCTACCAGAGCATCATCGGCGGTATGCGCTACCTAGTCCACACGAGGCCGGACATTATGTTCGCCGTGGGCTATGTCAGTCGGTTCATGGAGGATCCCAGAGAGGATCACTGGGCTACGGTGAAGCGGCTACTATGCTACGTCAAGGGGATGGTAGATCATGGGATCATCTTCCCAAAGACCAGCGAGAGTAGGCTGCAGCTCACTGTGTTCAGCGATGCAGACATGGCAGGGGACATCGACGGGCGACGGAGCACCTCTGGCGTGCTTGTCTTCCTCGGGTCGGCCCCAATTTCATGGCTGTCACTGAAGCAGAAGGTGGTGGCGCTATCTACGTGCGAGGCAGAGTACGTAGCGGTGGCCACAATAGCGTGCCAAGTTGTGTGGCTACACCGGCTGCTGGGCGAGCTAACCGGCGTGGAAGCTCACCCACCAGCACTGATGGTGGACAACCAGCCCACCATCGCCCTGGCGAAAAATCCAGTTCTGCACGACTGGAGTAAACACATCGATGTGAAGTTCCACTTCCTTAGGGACTGTGTCGATGGAGGGCAGATCGTCATCGAGTTCATCGAAACTGGTTGGCAACTCGCGGACATCCTCACCAAGCCGCTCAGACGTCTTCGACTCACGAAGCTAAAGGAGATGATCGGCATAGAGGGGGTATAAGGGTTAGCAGTAGGATTAGGGGAAGATTGTTAGATAATCTATTGCTACCTTGTGTGAACACAGCAAGGGGAAGGCGGCGCCGAAAAGGCCCCCATGCTGTGATACAGTAGTCGCTGCAGGTGCAGGCGCCGAACTGCTCACCTGCAGCACTATAGCCACATGCAGTGGCCGGCGTAGAGTCAGCCCTGTATGTTATCTAGTCACTGTTGCAGCAGGGCAGCTATACTAGAACTAGATGGATAGAGTTGTATAAATAGACTACCATGGCAACTCAGTAAAGAGAGTTTAGATTTGCCATCTCACAGATAGGGCTTTGGCCAACGCTGGTGTCTTGTATTGTGTGCTTGCTCTGTTCTCCCTTCTTCTTCTAGCTCCAGCCATAGTGTGTGGGGACGGACAATGCTTGTTCGTGGTCGGCACGGCTAGTGGGTGCTCGGCAACACTAGCGGGTGCTCGACAAGACTGGTGAGTGGTTCACTCATCTGAGCCGGTGATCCTATGGGCCAACAGTCCTGACCCCGAAGGGTGGCAAAGGTTCTGGTCTGGCGGGGAGCATCTGGGTCACTAGCGTTCCACTCATCCTCGCCACTGGATCCCTGCTGATCTTGTTGGCAAGTGCTTCAATTTTTTTCTCCACCACACACACTGCTGCTCGGTGCCACCTGCAGGTGAAAGGGTCGAGATGGAGACTAGAGGGGGGGGTGAATAGTCCTTTCTAAAATTAATCGCGTCGGTTAACCGATATAAATGCGGAATTAAAACAATCGGTCTATCCAAGACTACACCCCTCTATATATGTTTACTAGCACCATGCTAAGATACCAATTATGCAACAAAGGTGCCGGGCTATCTAGAGCTCTCCTAAACAATTCTAAGAGCAAGGTTACACAAACCTATGCCACTAGTATTTTAAGCAACAAGAGAGCTCCTACACATGCTAGTAAGCAAAAGCACAAAGCTAACTATGCTCACTAGCAATGCTCAATAACAAGGCAACCAATGCATAATTAGAGAGCGCAATCACTTAGCTACACAAACTAAGCAATGTGACTAACAAGGTTACTAAAACCAAATTAGCCACGCAAGGGAGCTACTTCTATGCTACACAAGCAAGAAGGTAATTAGCAAGCTACACAAGCTATCTAATTACAAGAGCAACTACACAAGCTTAATATGTATAAAAGTAATTGC